AGTTTATTATGAATTATGATAGATCTCCTATTGAATATTCAAGAGCATGACGTAAAAAATGGTAAAAGATATAAATTATAAAATGAAAATCACTAATGACAATTTTTCATTTTAGCATCTGGCTCAGCCCAGCCTACACAATCCCGGCCCAGAAATTTTGGGATTGGGCTTGGTTTTGTGTTCAGGCCTGGACCAGGGCTGGGCTTGTATCAAGTCCACAAATTTTAGGGCTGGACCTGGGCCTAATACTTCAATCCCAACCCAACCTGCATATATTTAAGCATACACATGTTATGTATAATGTATATGTATGTACACGTTATTTTTTATTATATATGATATTTTATATTATATAATGTATAAAATAAATTTATATACATGTTATATGTCATTTAATATAAAATATTATATATATGCAATATTCTTTTTGGTATTCGGTCCCATGCACCATTAATAATTTCCGCTTACCCCATATTGACCTAGGCATAGTCTTATGTTTTAGGCTCGAAATCTCGGGCTAGGCTAGGCCTGGGCCTAAGATATAACCCTTATCATAAATGCAAAGCTCGGCCTGGCCCATGATCACCCCTACTATGAATTTTCTATAATTAACAAAAAAAAAAAAAAAACTATAAAACAACAGTTGTCAATGGGTTGGATCTAGTATGGGACAAGGTAACTAGAATCGGTCCTTGACCAGACTTCTATTATTATTTATTATTTTGTAAAGCGGTCCAACCCAGTTATACTTAACTCCTATGGTTACCTATGTTGTATTGTGCATTGAATTCTTTGTTGCGGCTAGCTTCATGTGCCAACTTGCATTACCAAAAAAACCATAGGCAAAATTCCGAGGTGGTTTGTAGTGGAAGAAAAGAGGTGATATGAACTTAGTCCGTTTTCTCTTTATTGGTATAACCTGAATATATTATGTTGTCAGTGTTTTCTCTTTTATAAACCTTTGGTTTGTGCAAGAAGACAGAGCAAGTCAGAGAGAGAGAGATTGGGTGTAATTGGGGTTTAAAGTTTTTTTTTATTTTTTTATTTTTGTGAGAGTAAAATTTTGCACAACTTTGTATTCTTCATTGTTGTTTTCATAGTGAATTTCTATTCCTTTGTTCGTGGATATAGGCTATAATTCGAACCACATAAATTTATATATTTTTCTTGAGTTCCTTTGTATTGCGTATTTTTTTTTTCTTTTTTTCTTTGTAATTTTTCAAATCGTTTTTTATCTTGGGTTTCTTTTACCATAACAACCTATAATATGATAGCTTGGAACTTTATTTATGATAATATAATGTTAATAAAGATGATAATATATAAATAGTAAACTATTTATATGTTGATAAAAGGATTTTTTTACTTAAAACTATTTTATATATTGTATAAAATTTACTCTTTTAGACATAAAATATAACAAAATTATAAAAAACCTTGAGACATTTATATATTATTAATTACATAATTGATGTAATTGGTTCAGTTCAATTCTATCAAGTAAACTCGACCCATTGACAGTTCTAATGAAAATTGTTGGTCTACCCCATCCTCTCTTGATAAGATCTACACAAATATGGATAGATTTACAATAAGTGATCCATGAATTTTCACCAAATTGGCTTTGAGAACCTGCACTGAGTTGTGGAATCGATGGTATTGTTTGTCCAAATGGAGATGGAAATTTCATTGGAATTTTTTAGTACCTAACCCGTCTTGACCCTAATGTGACCTGTTTATAAAAAACCCATAGGGTTTGGGTTTTGACCTTAGGGCACCTAGTATCCAAACCCAATTATATTTATTGTGGTATCAATTCCCCATAACTGATTATAAACGTTATAAATATTATTAAATATATATTATATTTTATGAGAAATAATATATATAGTAAAGAGGTTTGAGAGAGGACTCAAACCCTTGCCCTTGTATCCCATTATAAGCATCTTTAACATTGGCCTACCACACCATTTCTACTTAAGAGTAGAGGTGTCAATTGGATGGATTTGGTCCAACCCGATCCAGTCCAATGTGAGTCCACTTATAAATGGACTAGACCCAATCCAATCCAAATTCAATACAGATCAAATCCAATCCAATCCATTAAAATGTAAATGGATTGGATTGGATCCAACCCAAACCGAATGAAATATCAAAAATTATATAAAAGCACTTTTAGCATTGAAAAAACACTTTTGTAAAAGTACTTTGATAAAAATAGTTTCATAAAAGTGCTTTTGCAAAAGCACTTTATTGAAAGTACTTTGGAAAAGTGCTTTTTCGAAAAGTACTTCCATAGACTTTTATAAAAGTATTTTTATAGTACTTTTATAAAAGTACTTTTCGTAAAAGTGCTTTTGTAAAAGTACTTTTATAAAAGTACTTTTGTAGAAGTGATTTCATAAAATTACTTTTGTAAAGGTGCTTTCGTAAAAGTTCTTTCATAAAAGTGATTTTTTAAGTGCTTCCATAAAAGTGCTTTTACAAAAGTGTTTTCGTAAAAGTGCTTTCATAAAAGTACTTCCGTAAAAGTTTTTTTATAAAAGTGATTTCATAAAAGTGCTTTCGTGTCAAAGTATTAAAGTGATTTGTAAAAGTGCTTTTATAAAACTACTGTAAAAGTGCTTTCATAAAAGTACTTTTGTAAAAATGCTTTCGTAAAAGTATTTTCAAAAAAGTGCTTTTGTAAAAATACTTTTCATAAAATTACTTTTATAAAAGTGCTTTTATAAAAATGTTTTCATAAAAGTGCTTTCGTAAAAGTGATTTTATGTTGTTTTCAGTTTTGATTGATTTTAAATTGGACAAGGGTTTGGCCTCATGATCGGATTATTGGAAATTTGGTTTAGGTCTAATTCAAACCAATAAGAATATGGACCAATTTATTTTGGATTGGCCCAATCCAATAATTATAATGGACTGTCCAAATCCGATTTGATAAGGTTTGGATCGGATTGGATCTAAACCAAAACCCGGTCAATTGACACCCCTACTTAAGAGGGGCAACACATTTTACTCATGTGATGTAAAATCCGGTGCATGGTTCAATGTATTACAAAATGCAAAGGCTGATGAAGAGGCAATTCATAGAAATGTATTTGGATATACACATGTATATGCCATGGAAATTCAAATATATATTAAAAATACTTAGTGTAAGGGCACCCGCTATGTACATGTTCAAGAAAAAATAAGGTAAACCTTAGAAGATATGATGCATTTATTTAGCTTTTATGACTTGAACTAAAACCAAGGAAAGTATCCACTTATACATTATAGATATAGATTATATATAGTTTACATTTCTAGTAACTCTTTACATAAGAAACATGTATCATATTAGTTTGTGCCCTTATGTTGAGTGTAATTTCACAATAAATTAAAAATGGAATGTGTAAACTATGGAAATATCCCAAGGAAATGTTGTTATATATGTTAACAAATTAATATTATAAATCTCATTAATCATCATATAAAAGGTTATAAAATTTAAAATAGACTAAGCTAATAAATAATGGTGATATGCCATAGTACAAAAATGGATAATTGAGATTATAAAAGCAAAAACATTCAGAGCTGATTTGATTATGACTTGATACATGGGTATTTCTGGTTTGATTATGGCTTGATATATGGTTGATTATCAATGCTAGTTTAACAACATAGTAATTCTATATAAGAGTACTATTTTATATGGAGTTAATTTAGTTAACTATGAGGTAAGAGATATTTAATAGAACTAATTGATGTTATAAGTGGTACCTTAACTAGGGTTACTTTGGAATGTTAAATAGAATCAATTATAGTGAGTTTAATGAATCATGTGAGACGATGGATCATGACATGTTTAAGAGGTTTGGGATCAAGGGTAACTAAGGCAGATTCAGGAATGGGAAGAGCAGTTTAAGATGACTTGTTAATTCTTTCCCAAAAAACAAAACCTCACCTACTGGTCCTAAAGACAAAAGGCTACTACCAAATGCCGCAGGTCCTTGTAGGATGTTGGAAGCGCTGGATTGGATATGGTCCATATCATGGTTTTCAAAATTGGACTGGATCAGACGGTTGGACCGGAAAAACCGGGAACTGATCATCTGATCGTTTTTGTTTTTTTTCAAAACCGTTGATTTTGGTTAGCAAACCGTTGAATTGGTCAGTTAATCGTTCGAAACCGTTTTTTAATTTTTTTATTTTTTTGTCAAAACGGATCGACCGTTCAAATCATTCGAACCAATAACCGGACCCCAGTTCGGTCACCGGGTTGGTTTTAAAAACCATTGTCCATATGGATTTTTAACACAAAATGACCACTGATCTCAAACTTGAGCCCTTCACCAAAGGAAAATAGGGTTATAGCAACGGTACTTTAGCTACGGTCACAAAAACCGTAGTTAAAACATATATTCTGTCCGTTGTTAAAAGATATTTATAACCACGGTTATATTGTATCCGTGGTTATAAGTTACAAAAGCAGAAATTGAGCTTTAGCTACAAGCTAGCTTCCCACGTTTACATATAAAACTACCTAATTAAACATTTGAAACTTATTTAGCTAATTGGCTGAAACTCTTTCTATATAGGGTTAAAACTTAAAAATTTTGATATGTTTTACATAAAAAAGAGGTTCAAAACTGACTGTAACAAGGGCTCCACTTAATTAAGAGTGTCTATACCAACAACCAACATGATAAGGAACTAGTAATATTGTACACCTCTTTCTGCAACTGAAATCTTCCACAGTTCCTAAAATCATTCCACTTCTGCTGGCTTTTCATTGCAGAGCATTGAAATGCAAGGGATCCGTTATCTTTATTAACTGAATAACCAAAATTCAGCAAGCACAGATATCATGGTTATGATGCGTGCCATACATTCAAACTTCATTTATTGTGAGGTGAGCTAATAGCTTGGCTTCTGGTTTCAAAATTTACCAACCACTCTAATCTAATTCAAAATGCCTATATAAGATAGAGATGCTCTATTCTTTTTGCAAGCTAGTCATGGCTCTCCTCCATTTCATGAGGAACGCATGCTTGACTGTTCTTGTCATGTGGGTGAAATGGATGCCTTCTGATGCTCACAACTGCAAATCTCGGGAGTCCGGCGGCATGGGAGGGAAGTATGATGACAACCCAATGCTTCATAGGTATGAGCAATGGTTGATGCGGCACAACCGTAGTTACCATGACCACAATGAGTGGGAGGTACGCTTTGGGATTTATCAATCTAATCTTCAATTTATCAACTACATCAATTCACAGAACTATTCCTTCAAGCTCATTGATAACAAATTCACTGACCTGACCAATGAGGAGTTCAAAGCTATCTACTTGCGACTGAAGACTTGCCATCAGCAAGAAAACAAGGAAAGTTCCAGAAATAAGAACCCTACAAATTTACCCAGCAGTGTGGACTGGAGAAAAGAAGGTGCCGTCACCCCAGTCAAAGATCAGGGCAGATGTGGTATGCTGATCTTCACTCAGAATCTTAATATACTAAGTGGCTCAAATATTTGGTATTTTATATAGTTGATTTCAAACAATTAATTAGGTTATGGAAGGTGTCCAGTAGCTGTAATTCTTTAATATTTTGTCACCCAAGTTCCAATTGTTCTGTGTGAGAACAACAGAGAGATGCTTCAGAGGGAGAGTGTGACACCAATAGCACCAACAAATATACATGTAAGAAGTAATGGTGTCTGTTTTTTCTTATGCAGGAAGTTGTTGGGCCTTCTCTGCAGTAGCAGCTGTGGAAGGCATTAACATGATTCAGACTGGGGAGTTAGTATCTCTATCAGAACAGGAGCTCATTGATTGTGATGTTAACAATGGAAACCAGGGTTGCAATGGGGGATACATGAGTGGTGCTTTTGAATATATCAAAAAGAATGGTGGGCTTTCCACTGAAGATGAATATCCTTATAAGGGAGCTGATGGTACCTGTAATACGAGTACTGGTTCTGCAAACCGTGTGGCAGCAATCAGGGGCTATGAAAATGTTACAGCTAGTGAGGATAGTTTACAAGCTGCTGTTGCTAAGCAACCTGTAGCAGTTGCAGTTGATGCTGGTGGATTTGCATTTCAGTTCTATTCAGGAGGGGTCTTTTCTGGCCATTGTGGGATCAACCTCAACCATGCAATGACAGCAGTTGGGTATGGAGAAGAGGATTCCCAGAAATATTGGGTAGTGAAGAACTCTTGGGGTACTGATTGGGGTGAAGAAGGTTATATAAGGATGAAGCGTGATGTAGATGATATAGAAGGCCTTTGTGGTATTTCCATGCTAGCTAGTTACCCTGTTAAGGACTCTCCTTGAAGGCTCATAGTAATGTCTTACTTTGTATTGATCTAAGTGGTTGATGCTCTAGCTCTTTGCTTTATTATCATATATGTACAATTTAATTGCAGTGAAAACTAATGCAATTAAAAATATGGATATGAACTGATAAATGTCATTCTAAATTTGTAAAGATAAAAATTGACTACATCATGTTAAAGAAAAATAATGTGAAACTGGGTTTGGTTATGCAAAGTAGTTCTCGATCATTCTCATCCCTCCACCATCCAAGAAAGAGAAAAAAAAAGTACTAAAATTTGTGCAATCATCCTTGACTCAATTAATTGCTATTTTGCCAAAAGTCAGGTGATCAAGTTGGGCTGGACTGGATGAAGCATTTTTAGCTGCATGTAAGATCCCATTGAGTTGGCTGTCCTGAGCCTAGCAGTTCATCCCACTGAAAAAATTGGGCCAGTTTCTTTCAACCCTTGTTGTTGTTGTTGTGCCCCAAGTGGAAAGGCCATTAAGTAGGACAAGGATGGACTATGATCTGTGAACAGTTCTTTTTACGGTTTAAGGAAACAGTATGGTTCTCTTAACACTGCTTTTAAGTTTTAAGCTTTTGTTTTGAGGTTGTAGGTTTTTATTGAAATAATGTATTTTCTAGATTTGGGTAAGCTTAGAAAGCTTTGACCAAATCATCTACTTGGGTTTCATGGGTTTCTCATTAATTCATTTTTTCAGCCTAGAATCCATAGCATGATTGAAACACTGAATGTTCAATCTAGCTATTTAGGAGATTATTTCTATTTCAGTTGGGAGAGTTACCCAACACATGGTTTTTCGGTTCTTTGTTAGTATCGCACCTCTTGTACTTCAACAACACATGGTTTTTGCACCGCTGTTGACCTGGATGGTTGGACCATTCGGCCTGGGAACCGGTCAGGATACTGGTTCCATTTTGGACCCCAAACCGCTATTCGCCCAAAACTGTTGAATTGTTCAGCAACCCGCTGACCTGGGTGGTCTAACTGTTGACTCATTCGATCAGGACAACGGTTTTGGGCCATGGGCCATTAGAGGCTGATCCATTTGGATTGGACAGTCGAACCGCTGACTTGAAAACCAGTAGCCAAAGCAGCTCTAGTTCCGGGTCCGTTTTTAAAACATTGATTCAACATATTTTATCTCGTTGAGTGATCCAAAATTCCAAATAATTTCACTTTTCCTAACCCTACCATGTCTATTGAACACACACACACCAATGCACTTGATGCAATAACTTTTTCTGGGTAGCTGATGGAATGATTGCATTTTTCAGATTAAGATCATTGAAGATATTCTTGAAATAGACCCCGGCATACCCACTAGAATATCTCAGTAAATGTCTGTTCTTTTTTTCTTTTAAATGAAAAAGAAAGCCAGAAATGGCTACATGTCAACAGGATGGAGACCTACCTTTGATTTGATCCCCATAAAAGTACTTAGCAAGTTGAATAGGCAGCTTGAGTCATCAGATCATGAACTCTTGATGATTTTGAACAGAATCTGTTGTAAGACACATTCTGTGTGTGGTTCAGTTTCATCCTCTATAACTTTTCACTGTGTTCACTTTTTTCTTTTCCACTCTTTTTTTATGTTGCCACAAAAGTCTGTTTTTTCAGACAACTAGAGTTACAATCAAGGAAATCATTTTAAGACCGGGGGTGGGGGGGGGATGTAACCAAAGCAATACAAGGAATAAGAGCTCTATATATGCACTGGTGTAAAACGAGAAACAAAATAATTTCAGGAAGAATAGGAAGGGTGGAAAACTTATTTGTTCTTGGTGATCTCCGAACGGCCTCTGATTGATTATCACTACCTCTCCAACCTCCTTAGAAAAATCATTTTGGTTTTCTGTTTGCTTTGGCATTAAAAAATGAGGTTTACACAGCCAGAAGGATTACAGGGATAACATTCTAATGTAGGACGTGCCCTGAAGAAACCAACTCATTGCTCTTCATCTTTATGATTCTGCTACCACTGGAACTTCTACTAGCATCATGATTTTCTCATGAGAGTGATTGATGAGTTTGATGTATCAATTTTAAATTCTGAACTTTTTTTTTTTGTTTATATCTTTAACTCTTCATTTTATAATTCCCATGTGGTTCCCTCCTCAGAGAAGCGAGAGTCTTAAAACCCAGTAATTAATCAGCTTGTTTGGTGGTTCAGACTGTTTAACTGGTGACACAGATGGCACAACCATGAAATCATCAACCCAGTTTGGACTCTTGATGCTTCAAGCGGCTATCACAAGGATCAAATCCGGTTTTTTTAAGGTACTGGTAATGGGAGGAGCATCAGAGTAGAGTTCTGTATAGATTTCCATCAGACTCAGACCCGTGAAACTGAAGAATCTTCTGTCCTAGTTTCTCTAGGGAGGGAGAGAACAATCTGTCCACTTCAGGTTTACTATATAATGATAAAATGCTCATCAGTCATCAGAGCATCTCTCCCTCTCTCTCTCTCTGCTGGATTTTACAGTTACCCTGCCTCTCATGTTACTTGAATGTAAAAAGAACGTGAAAGAAACAGTAAGGTCTACAAGATATCCACAAACCTATCGTTGTCTTCATCAACGAGTACAAATAGGTTTTAGTTGGTGACTGCAATTCTCAGGCTCCTCGTCACTCAGATCTAATATCTCCCTTTTCACGTTAAGACTTAAGACAGACAGTTTTCTTCCATTGTTTGACTTTTCCCTTGTTGGTATCCATTTCCCACCTGTTTGCATGAAACAAAGCAAAACCAAAACTAAAACTATGGGCTTTCCATTTCCAAGCTCGATTCACCCATCGAAAGAAAGTTTCTATTTATCAAGTTCACTAAAAAAATTAATTGATAATCATATATAAATGCCACCATTACTTTTCTCTCTTAAGTTCATTAATTTTCTTATCCAATAGGCAAGGAAGCAACAGCATTAAAGAACATAGGTTCCCAGCTCCCACCCCACTGGAGAAACCAAAAGATTCTTCTTTCTTAGTTTCTCTTTTCATTCATCTCGATGCTTACTGAGGTGGATAACAGTTTATCCAACTCAATTGAACCATAAAATAATATACTGATCATCAAAGTAAGTTTGCTCCTCTCTCTCACACACAGTCATCTTATTTATTAGAGGAAAAGGTTGGTGTAATGAATTTCATAACCCGTCATATCATTGTGTTCGATCTTCATCCAATGCATATACAGTCGTTAGTTGGTAGCCAATCTTAGGATCCCAGAACTTTCATTTTTCTATCTCTTTACCTTGTTTCAAGGCAAGACAGAAACTCAGAAAACAGCAGCCATCTTCATTACTTGGCCCTTACTTTCCTTGGGGTTCGTTTTCCACAAAGGCCCAAAAGATAAAGAAGCCAAGACAGAATAAACTATGATATGATCTCTCTACCCAGCCAGAAAAAAGAAAGAATATGGGGGACGATAAAAAAGCTTTAAAGCCCCACCGTCCTATACCCTCAACTTTCGGTACCTGCTTCAAGCTTCAACCTTTCTCATCATCACAGACACAAAGCTACTAAACCCAACATCAAAAGCTAATAGCGCGACCCCCTCATGCCCTCCCCCACTACTCAATCTCGTGCTACACTTTTCCTTTGTCAATGGATATAATAATTATAGTCAACAATAAAATACATGAATTCCCATGCAACCAAGTGGCAAGGCAAAGAACCCTGAGAAATCACAATATAACATAATATAATTGCTTGAGATAAGCGGCTAGCATCTATAGTAAATTTCATTAATATTGTCTAACATTTCTTGGTTGGATAGATTGGATCTGATCATTATCTTTTCTTCAGATCCAATTCAAAGCCAGGGAATATAAAGATGGCCCACACAGCCTTTACTCATTTCACAACTCACAACTCACAAGAACAAATTAAAAGGTCTTATTGGACCAGAAATTGACAGAAACGGAACAGACCCACAGACACTACTTTTCCTCCCAAGATAACCCTGTAATCTTGGCCGTTGATTGTGGTCGTGGACCACTACTGTGTAAATCTGCAAATAGAGGACGTTCGTGATCTTGTGACTGCACGTGCTGTGCATTCAAGGGATTTCATTGTGCAGCCAAGTATGGCAAGTGGGACTCCCCACTCTACATCCCCACTGTCACTTCACATCAGCAGTTTATATTTGTACGAGACGAGTCGCCACTGTCTTACACAGTTGTTCTTACTTCTTATTCCATTAGTGTTTTAATTTGGTTTAAACGGGTCGGATCCACACGGCCCATATATGCATCCGATGGCACTGCCACTGACCACATCAAACTCTTTTTAAAGTCATGATTTGGGGTTGGGCACGTCCTATTTTTGATAAAACCAAGCCCATGTCTCTCCGGTTCGAGATGTGGATCACTGACCCGGTAATGTAGTTGGTGCAGTTTAACAAACTTGATTGACGAAAATGCCTCAACCATTACCACATTAATCCACTTAAAATCGTTAAACCTCGCGGGACTTGCATGTAATTTTCCTCAGTTTCAAGGGTACTCTTGTTTAATTAGTACATGTCATTGTCGATATTCATATTTCTCTTCCCTGCACAGTACACTCAGCGTCAACTGCCATCTCCTCTCTCTGTCTCACGGGTCTTGATTCTCTCGTATAAGCTTTTCATGCCACCTGTTCGCAATGAGAGCAGCAGCTTCCATTCTGAGGCCCTCACGTTTATATCTTCTCTTCTCCCTCCTTTCTCCGCTCTTCCTCTTCCCAAGTTGCTGAAGTTAATTTACAGACTTATGGTAATGTCTTCTTCTTCTTCTTCTTCTCTTCTTCCTCCCTTTTCTTTTTACGTTTGCTTGCTCCTCCTCCTACTTCTGCTACGAATCTCAGAATCTGAAACAATAACCAAATCCAAGCTCACCAACACCACTCGCCATTATCGCCAGCTCTCCTACGATTACCACGGCAAGACCTGCCCTCAGCTCGAGCAGCTCGTCGCGTCCGTCACCTCTCAACAGTACCGCGAAGCACCCATTTCTGGACCCGCCACCATTCGCCTCTTCTTCCACGACTGCTTTGTCGAAGTAACCTCCGACCCACAGCACCAAATTCGGTAAAAACAGAAGAGAAAGCAAATGAAAATGAGGCGCATCTTAGAAAAAGCATATCATACTCTGCTAGCATGCACCGGCATTTCGTCCAACCAACTAAAGACAGACCGAGACAGACAGACGGACATTTTGTGCGGCGTAGTAGTACGTATTACGCAATTCGTCTTCACGTCTGTCACTGTCTCTCCGGTGGGACTGCAAATTATTGTCACCCTGGTGCATCTTAGCAATGACCATTATTAATTAATAATTAGCATTTCCCCTATTTTAAACGAATTATTGATTTACTGAACTCTTGTGTTTTTTTTTTTGTGGAACAGGGTTGCGATGCATCGGTCCTGATAGCGTCGAAGCCGGGAAACACGTCAGGTTTAGCAGAGAAGGATGCGCACGATAACAAGAACCTACCGGTGGAGGCGTTCGATAGCATAAAGAAAGCCAAGGCCCTGGTTGAAAACAAGTGTCCAGGTGTTGTGTCTTGTGCAGATATTCTTGCAATTGCAGCCCGAGATTTCGTCCACTTGGTAAATATGGCTAATTCTTCTAATATGCGCTTGATGTTTACAACTTTGCACTTGTCTTGATGTTTACAACTTTGCACTTGTGTGCCTAGGGAGATTTTTTTTAATTTTATGTAAAATAAATATTTACCAAAAAATCGATAAAAAATAGATGGGGTGAATCCTGACCGTGGATCGATGCCAAATCCACGGGCAGGATGCGGTAAAAAATAACCCTCGATGGTTGGGCATATTTACATCATATCAGTCAAAGGATTCTAGTCATTTTGAACAATTTATGGGCTGCCATGCAATTTTCGTCCATGTTTTCTAGATGTTTCCATTGTAGTCTGTAGACTGTAGAGGCCTAGAGGGTTGTTGCGTCGATTGTTCTGGCCTTCTGGGGAAATGGATATGACAAGGAAAGAAGCAGGAAAAGATGGTCATCGAGAAACGTGTAAGGGTACAGGATGTACTGGCCTACTGGGACAATCATGTATGCCAGGTCATCTTGATAGTAGCCCCATGTACAGGGCTGACGTGTTGTATTGTGATTAGTCCACTATTATGAATAAGATAACCAATTTATCTAAGGATCTGTTTGGTTAACCTTTTTCCTTTTGGTTAACCCCCAAATCACAATTCACAGAGCGCTCTTTGGCTTTGAAAGCGCAAATGTTGAAACTTGAAACTTATCGAAACACAACCTTGCACATTTGAAGAAATCCGGTTTGTTTTCCTACAATTTCAAATGGCCGTTGGTCATTGACAGCCGTTTGATGCGTTGACCAGGCCATCTGATCAATGTTACGTTACGTGTATTTTCTGATGTTCCAATGTACACTGGCGCAGGCAGGGGGCCCATACTATCAGGTGGGGAAGGGTAGGTGGGATGGCCGAATTTCAATGGCGTCAAGGGTGAGCTTCAATCTCCCACGTGCGAATTCCTCGGTGGACGAGCTTCTTAAACTCTTCGGGTCGAAGGGGCTAAACCTAGAAGACCTAGTTGCACTTTCGGGTGCCCACACTATAGGGTTCGCCCATTGCGAGCACTTCGTAAGTCGGCTCTACGACTATCGGGGCACCAAGAAGCCCGACCCATATATAGAGCCGAGGTTTCTGAAGGCCCTCCAGATGTCGTGCCCTCCATTTGGTGGCAACGTGGATGTGGTGGCGCCGTTCGATGTGACGACCCCGTTTTCATTCGACCACGCGTATTATGGGAACTTGCAGGCTAAGATGGGCCTGCTGGCGACGGACCAGGCTTTGTTCTTGGATCCAAGGACAAGGCCCATAGTGGTGGAGCTTGGGAAGGATAAGCAACGGTTCTTTCAGGCGTTCTCGGCAGCAATGGAAAAGATGGGGTCAATAGGAGTGAAGAGGGGAAGGAAACATGGGGAGATCAGAAAGGACTGCAGTGTGCATTCGTGATGGCCATGCCACGGTCTTTCTCTGTTGACTGCTTGGGTGTTGTTTGTTCCCTATCTCTCTCTCTCTCTGATAGATGAGGCTTTTGTGCATGTTTGCTGAGTGGCTGAAGTGAAAAATGTTTTCTGCTTTTTCGCTTTTTTGATTATTTGTGCTAACCTGTTCCCAAAACTTTGAAGTATACTGAAATTTTCATAAAAAAAAAAGGAATTTCAAAATTTCCCAATATAAATCCAAGTATTTCGAAGATTTGTACAAAAATAGATTTAAGAAAAATATGGCATACTGAAAAAAGCACTTCACCAGTTCTATAATTGGGGTGGGGATAGTTTGCAATTTTCAGAAACACAGTTCCGTTTTTAGAAGTTACATTGTCAAGGGGTGTTTTTTTGTTAAAAAAAAATTGTCCTCTCCTCGTTAAGAAGTAGTTTAAGAAACACCCTTTATTCTGAAAACGAAAATGTAACTTTTAAAAACAGAAATATAGTTTTCATGTCCCGAAAATGTAATTTTAAAACAGAAATAAGGATGTTCATGGTGCGGTTTGGAGATGTCAGACCAAATCAGTAAATTATGATTTAAAAGTTTAAAAAAAAAATCAAACCAAATCAAATTGTTTTATTACGGTTTAATGTAGCTTTTAGTACAATTTGGACCATTCTATTGATTTTAACCCAATTAGAAAGCCCATTCTATTGAGATTAATGCAATTAGAAAGTCCAAACAAAATATATATGCCTACATATATATAGTCTTTTAATCATTGACTCAAATATAGTTATTTCCAGGCTTTATTAATTTGATTTGACTTCTAAAATTTAGGAAACCGAACCCAAACCATAAACTGGAATTTAGAATAATTTCCAGTTTCAGTTTGATTTAATTTGGACCGTATAATGAATACCCATAAAATGGTTTTTTTATCTATGCTACTGAATTGTGCAAAATTGGAAAGCCCCAAATGCCAAGATGATCCTCTGGATGAGTCTCTGTCTTTTAAAAATTCCTTCTTTTTAAAGAATGAGTATTGGGTCCAGTTTTCTGAAAAGTACACCATTAAAATGACCCCACCAACAGAAACCTCCTAAATAATTGGTACTTATGATTTGGACTGTGAAACATGTTACAGGTTTCAGATTGTGAGGTCTCCAAACTGCAGTCTGTCCTTTATTTCAAGCTTAATACTTAGTACGTATTCGAGGTACTCTCTTGTAATTTTCTCCCATCTAATTCTGTTTGTGTACAGTGTACTCAGTATCGGATAAAAAAAGAAATGCATAAAAAGCAATCTCTGCAGAGATGGATGAAATAAGAAGTATTAGCCTCTGTTTTAGATAAGATTCTTCTTTTGAGATTTGGACTGTGTAAAACAAAGATTGAGCCAAAAAAATGTTTTTACTTTTTAGTGTGTTAAGAATTGCTTTTAAAAGCATTTTAGTCTGAAGCCAAAACTTCATGTCCCAAAGAAATTGGGACATTTTATTATTGGGAGGGGTGCGAGCTGGGCCAGCTGGGACGGGTTTAAGCTCAACCTACACCCAACCTTAGGAAGTGGGCCTAACGCCTGAGCCCAAGGTCAACCATGAAATGTCCAACTAGGGCCTGACCCCATCTGAAATTTGATGCACTTGGATTGGGTTCAGGCGTGGTTGGGTTTGGTCAATTAGTCCACACTAAAATTTAATATAAATGTATATATGTATTATAGTTCATCAAGAATAAGTGCTTATATGTTTATGTATGTTAGGCTTGTGCCATATTTTGGGCTATCTAAGGGCTAGGCATCAGGCCTGGCCTGATAAAATAAAAAAAACCCCAAACTTCTAGGCCCTAAAATCCAAGTTCAACACTTGTAAAATTGTGGGCTGGGTCAGTTCAGGCTAGGGTTGGGCATGCCCAAGTTGCACCCCTTTAAGGGAACGTTTATTTTGAGGGGGAAAGTTGGTCAATGAGATTTTGGTTCCCATTGACAAAGAAATTCATGTTCTTTTTTCAGATTTTTGTGGGGACCAAGGAAAACTTATTTTCCTGGATATCATTTACCTAGGTAACTGATCCACCTGGGGGGGGAGTTGCCAACACTCGAGAGTTCTCATCTGCCCCCCACATGCACGGTTGGGATCTGTTGTGGGGCGTTTGTGGGGGTACATGTGAATGAGGGGACAAAGATGTCCTTTTCAACAATAGATTTTTGTCACAAAAACAGTCATTGTCTTGTTTACCTAGAACATAAAAGAACATGGATAAATGCACTTACCCGAATAAATATTTCCTAAAGCTCAGTTTGGAAGGATTACAAATACAAATTTGTAGAGTGCAAAACCTTGTATTTTGTATTATTTTGTATGTATTTGTACTGTACATATTTGGACCAATTTGTATTTTGTATGTATTTGTACTGTAGAGCGCAAAACGTCCAATCTGTTCTAGTCCAATGTCAGTCAATTATAAATGGACCAGGTCCAATCCAATCCAGTGAATGTTTTTGGACCAATTTGGACCGGTCCAATTCAATGTCTGGACCGCCCAATCTGTTAAAATTCATTTTGATTTAAATTGGTTTCAACCCAAACCCAGTCCATTGACACATATACTCTTATCTTATATCAATGGATCAGATATTGGCTTAATCCAACCCAATCCAATATAAATTTGTTACAAACGGACCAGGTTCAATCCAATATAATAAATATTTTTTACCAGATTTGTCCAATCCAATATATCTTGTTGGTCCGTCCAAATTGATTATGGACTGGATGGGGTCCAATCCAAAACCGATCCATTGACACCCTTACCTAAAAGTACAAATTCTGAAGCTTATTCTAAGAATAATCAAAATAGGTGCTAACCTGAAAAATAAGGGAATGAGAATTGGATTTTCTTGTGTTTGCGGTCACACAACTGATAGCTGCCATTTAAGGGCTCTTATGGCCAATGTTTTTAACCTACAGTGAACTAGCCAGTCAAATAGGTAAACTTATTAGCCAGTTAGGTTTTAGGTTCATTTAACCTTAAGGCCTCGTTCGCTTTTCGGTAAGTTACTTACCCAAGTAAATGAAATTACTTGGATAAGTTTTTCCTGGGAAACACTTATACCCGGGTAAGTGCATTTATCCATATTCTTTTATTTCTCAGGTAAATAAAGTAATGGCCATTTTAGTCATAAAAATCCATTAATAAAAATGACATTTTTGTCCCATTCAAGTGTTAGCAACTTTGTTCCTAGGTGGGAGATGGGTATCACTTACCCAGTAAAATAAACTTTCCCTAGTCTCCATGTTAATATGAAAAATGAACATGGAATTCTTGGTCAATGGGAACCAAAATCCCATTGACCAAGTTTCCCCCCTCTCCAAATCCAAAAAAAGAATGCCCCCTAAAAAAAATTATTTGCAAAATAATATTAATTTGGTCAACAATCTGATACCTCAGTTACTTGAACAACTAAACCATTTGATCTGATTAGTGGATTATGAATTAGAAAATAATTCACATTCTTCTGTTTATACATTTTTACCATTAATAGCAAGCTGAAGGGGCTAGAAGGGTAGGGGTTAGATCAAAAAAGACGTGGATAAATTAGTAAGAAATGATTCAAGTGCTAATAATTCCATGATGGATATGAGATTGAACAAAAGGAAATGGTGAAACAGGATTTATATAGTCAATTCATATAATTAGGGATAAAGCTTGGATGACGATGATGATGATGACAATCTATTTCTATTTTTTACATTCATTTCTATTTAATATGATGAATATATAATATTAAATTTTTATAATTTTATCTAATTTTATTATTAGATTATGGAACTAGATTTCTGGATTCATTTAGGGGAACATGACCCACAATTGCATAGGTTTACCAAAGACTAAACAAGAAATTAAAAAGACCACTGGCATTGAACTATACAGCTTCATTTATTATTTCAAAAAGCTCTCCAAGGTTCTAATGCAACTTTTCTCCAATGTTTAATTTTTTCCAATAAAATCCTATAATATAATTGGAATTATATTTTAAGTTGATTTTTTTCCAACTTAAAATTCATTGTCAGGACAGTATCTGACTATCCGTATTGAAGAAGACCTCTTTTTAGTTTTTACTTTTACTGAAAGCTTTCTTAACTTGAAAAAAAAAATGGAAGGTGTTTCTCAAGAATGATTTTCTTAAAATGGCTTTGGGCCCATTTGATATGGTTGAAGATTGTTGAATTGCTTTCACTGCGCTGCTTTACTTTGAAAAAGTCACTGAAGAAAGCTTCAAAAGAAATCATCATTTTAGTTGAAAGTAAATTTGGAATTTTCATTTTTTTTACCAAACATTGCTATAAGCTGTTCAGGTGGGAGTGGGATCCACTTCTAGGGCTGCCAACGGGTATTTTTAAATTGGATATAAGGTAAGATCCAAATTAAATTTAAATAGGGTAAATTACAAAGAACACCCCCTGATATTATGGGATCAGTGACAAAGGCCCCTGAACTTTAGACAAAGACCCCTTTAACCATTAAATCAGATGACGGAAAACATTAAATTATCAAAATATTCCATTAACCTTCTCTATTTTCTTTCTTTTTTTCATTTTCTCTTAAAACCTAACTGAAAAAATATCTTTATTGCTTCTCACTGAAAAATATTTTTATCATTTCATTTGTGTGCATTTAAAGGATTATTAGACAATAAATAAAACTGAGAAATACATATAAGAAAACAGAGTTTGACAGTTCGTTTTCCCCCTTTCTCTCATACGATCTTTTAACAGAGTTCAACAGTTCATTCTATCGTCTCACTGGTGCATTTAAAGGATTATTAGACAATACATGTAAAAAACAAAGTTCGGCAGTTTGTCTTCCCCCTTTTCTCATACGATCTTCGAACAGTTGAGTCAAACCTACCCAAACCGGCCTATTAGAACCTGAAGACTGCAGATCATTGCCATGGCATAGTCCTAGCGGAACAAGGTGCTATTGGCCGCATAGGCATGAATCCACCATCTGGTTCCATCACCGGTCATCAGTTGCTGATCAGCATGAAGGCCCCCCCTCCTCTGCACCAGTCCTCTTCTGATGACGTCGTGGAAGAAGGCAGTTATGAGCTGCCGGAGTTGTTGCACTTCGACCTCATGAAGTTGAGGAATTCCGGTTCCA